GCCGAGAGCGGGGGAGGAGATGGGGGGGGCGGTCTGTGAAACCCGCCCCCTCACCGCTGGACCCCACGACCCCCCTCCTGCTCTACGCCTCCTGCACGGCTGCCATCATTGCATCACAATAATCGTCAACGTGTGGCGAGCGCTTAGTCTGGGTTCCGCTCCGGCTGTGCCCCCTCATCTCATTTACTCCTCAGAAAGAGCTCTTCCTTAACCCATTTTACAGACAAGGAAACTGAGCTCCGGTAAATCAAACGAATTGACCAGCTCTCCAACAGGGGTAGAGGCGGGATTCCGGCGGCCAAGCGGAGCCTCTTTCCCTTCGGCCCGGCTCCGGGGTGGGGCCTCGGCTTTATCTCTGGATGTTCAGCGGGCGCTGACCCCAAAAGGAAATGTGCCACGGAGGACTGAGTGAACAACTGGCCTCGCCCCTAGCCTGAGCAACGCGGCTTGCCTTCCTCCCCTTCCGTTTCTCTCCCTGTGAAGACTAGAACCTGGCGGGCTGTCCCCTTAAGGGTCAGAGGAGCTGACTCGGGGATAGGGCACTGGGGACCGCTGCCCACCTCCACTTGCCATTCCCTTCACGTCGCGCCCCTAACACACACACACACACACACACACACACACACACACACACACACACACACCCATCCATCGTCCCCCTCCGCGCCTTGGCCTGTGCGCGCCTCGGCCAGTGCGTGCCTCCCCCCCTGGAGACCTTCCCTCCTCCATGCCACAGTGCACCTTCTGCCAGGATGGGGTGGATGCGGAATTAGTCAGGACAACTGTGCAAGGGTATGGGAGTCTGTGGGACACAGATGCTGATGGAAGCGTTCTGTAGGGTTGGGCGGGTTCTTTGAGTTTCCTCGGGAAGGAGGTGAGCCCACACCCAATTGTTGTTCCTCTACCCTCTCTACCACAGCAGCGGGGGGTCTCTGTACCTGCACAATTTACTTTTATCTGTTTCATCAGTTAGCACCCCAGGAGAAATAAAGTCATGTGGGCTGTGAATTGAGATCAACATCAGGACTTGGCCAGGTTCTGTCTTGTAACCATGGGCAAGTGTCTTCTCCAACCAGCACCTCATCTTCTCCATCTGGTTGGTCAAAGTCTAACCCAGGCAAGTGGGAAGGGGGGCTGCAGAGCTGAAAGGCAGAATGTCCTCCTCCCAGCCTCAAAGGCTCAGCATGGTGCACCTTCTGCCAGGGTGGTGTGGCTGCAGAGTCAATCAGGATGCCCGGTGCAGTGCAGGGTCTGGGGGTCTGTGGAGACGAAGTTGCTGGTGAAAGCTTTTGGGGAGAGTCAAGGTGTCAGGCCACTCCCAGCCTGAGGGATTGATGAAGCCTCTGGTTTGATCTGAGCCTGGGGAAATCACTTTGAGTGGTCCCTTGCCGGGAAATAACTCACTATAGCCTGAATTAAATCACTAACCCCTTACCCAGGCCCAGGGCAGCCTCTTTGGTCTCTTACCCTCTTCACGTTCCCTTCCCCCCAAGTTCTAAGTTCCAAGCTTGACCATGCATATGATCAGCCTGCCCATTATTCCTGCCCCCACCCCGCCCTGTTCCCCAGAATCTAAGAACTCCCAACAAGGTTGAATGTTTCTAGCTTTTGCACACACAGACCGGCCCCCGACCCCCAACTCCTGGCATGCTCATCTCCCCCTTGACTGCTCACCCTCTTCCAATTTTTCAAAATTTTGTCCAGGAGTTACCTACTCTGGGCCTTGCCCCTCACTCTTTGCAGGTCGTTCCCTTATAGCACTGTTTAGTGATTTTATTGTCCTTTACTTAGTTCTCCCACCCTTCCCACCCCCACAGGAGTGTGAGCTTCTAGAGAATAGACATCTTTAATTCAGGATTTTGCCGCCTTCTCCCACGTCTAGCACAGGGCTGGCACCCAACTAATGCCTACAGAATTGACCAAAGGGGTGGGCAGGGGTACAGCCGGGGGCATCTCTAGGACAGAGTTCTGGGAGATGCCTTTCTCTGCTACTTGGCCCCCATTTATCCCCTTTCAGTTCGCATGGACCCTCATCTTTTCTAGGGCCAGGCCCTGAGAAGGAGATTGGGCGGCCTTCTACCCGTTGCTCTACACCGTTGCTCGAGTGGGCCAGATCTGTCCCATCCCGTCCCTCCCTGAGGGCCCCACTCGCTTCGTTGCCCTTTTAAGAAAGAGGAAATTCTTCTCATAAACAAGCGCCTCAACCGGAGCGCGGAACCCAGCTCCGTGCCCTGCCGCATAACCGGGAAATCGCGGGTGCTTCTAAACACAGCGCCCACTCCAGGCTCAACCCAAGGGAAAGGGCTGGGGGCCAGTCCTCGCCGCCCGCCACAGCTCAGGGGCTGGGGTCCGAGGAAGAGGTTGGAGCAGAGACTTGGGGGAGCCTAGAAACAGCCCAGGGAGCGTCTATAAAGTGCAGTCCTTTCACGGAGCGAAGGGGCGCTGGGCCGCTCCCAGCGGCGAAGGGGGTTCCCCGCCCACAGAGCTCACCGCCACCCACCCCCTTCCCGCCTGGGCGGATTCCGAGGCCCCAGGGCCCGAGGCCCGAGCGACAGCCTACTCCTCTTTGGAGGCGGGGAGTACCGGCGCTCGGGACGGTCCCTGCCCCTAGGGGGAGCTGGAAATCAGCGCTTAGGGAGCGTTAACTTCGCGGCGTGGGAATCCTGGCTGTCTGGTCCCCTGGAGAGATAGCAAATAAATTGGGCCTCGGAGGCAGGCACTCTTGGGTTCCTTATGACCTGGCCCCTGAAAGGAGGAAGACACCGCGCCTCTGTTTTACTGCCTGGAGAATGGGTTTCGGGTGGAACAGAGAAGCCGAGGCCACTCCAGTGAGAGTAGGAGCTAGGCAGACATTCGATGAGGGGGAGTCTCCTTGATGGTTCAGGGATTTTGTGCTTTCCCGGTTTCTGTTCCCTTGCTCTTTTGGATAGGAAGTGAATTAGCATTTATTTAACATTCATCAGACTATTTTAAGTACCAGTGTGGAGCCTGTGTCCCACCCCCAGTTGGGTCGGTCTGTCAGGTCACTTCTATAGGTGCTCAATAAAGACTTCTGGAATTTCTTCTTTTTTTTAGTCTCAAGTGCCAGACTCTGTGTTAAAGTGCTTTATATCTGTTGCAAGGTTGGTGTTGTCCTCATGTTACAGACTAAGACACTAAGATCTGGAGGTTAATTACTTATCCAAGCTAGGAGACAGCAGGTCTCTATGGAACCCAGGTTGATCTGCTTCCAAAACTATGCCTTCCCCATCTTGCTGCCTCCACACGTCTCCCCCTCCGCCTCCACCCTCCAAAACAGCAAGCTAGTCTGCTCCACTCATTCCAGTCCTGGCCAGGCCTTGGATAGAAGCTCATTCAGAGGTCTTCCCTTTCCCCTGATCCTCTTCAGGAAGCCCATACAGAAAGTGTTGGTGGGAACTGTGAGCCAGAAGAGTGGCTCCATGGGCGATGAGACACGTCCAGACCTGGGGGAGGGGCGACTATGAGTAGGGGAAAGGACAAAATCTTTGGGGAAGCCCCAGTACATCCCCCTGAGCCTTCCATCTGTTGCCTCCTTTCCATACCTCCCCCATCCCCAAGGTACCCGCTGACCCAAAAGTACCAGGTAGGTGGTGAGGCCCAGGTAAACTGCAGCCAGCAGTGCTACGAGGATGAAGTAGGCAGGGTGGGGAAGGCTGGGCAGGTAGCTGACCACGAAGTAAAGGTTGATGGCACAGAGCAGCACCATAATGGAGGAAGTGATGGCCTGGCTCACCCTTGGGGACAGGATAGAGACTCAGGACTGGCTGCATCTCCTCCAGTTCCTACAGCCAGCCTGGAGCTAAGGTAGGAGGCAGACACACAAAGCCGGCTTCTGTGGGCTATGGGGCCTGGAGCAGACCCCTGGCCAATTTCTGCCTCCTGGAATTTCCAGGCACCACACTGGCAGGATTTGGCAAGAGGAGAGTCTGGGGTGAGGGTGAGGGTGAGGAGATCAGGCTCTAGAAACAGCCCTGCTCCAGGATTCCAGTCCTGGCTCCTCCACTTGCTAGCTGTGTGACCCTGGGCAAGTTCCTTCACTTCTCTGATTTCATCTGGATAATGAAAACAATGGGAATTCCTACCTCTCCTGAGGTTGTGAGGATCAAATGTGGTAATTTAAGTCTTGCGCCGGCCTTGGGCCATTGGGGCATACTCACCGGCCACTGGCAAACTCCTGCATGAGGGCTGGCATGCTGGTGAACGTGAGGATGGGCAGCACAGCGAAAGGAAGCTGAGGAGAAGCAGGAGAAGGGGCTGAAGGACCCTGCCCTCGGAATACGTTGAGGAGGGGAGGAGCAGGCCATGGCTCCAGTCACCCTCTGCCTGGCTGTGCACCCTTAGGAAAGTCCCCTAACCGCTCTGAGCCTGTTTCTCCACCTCTGTGCCTTCCAAGGTTGTGGGACTCCAAAGCAGGAGAAAGCATTTGGGGACTCTGGGCCAGGGCTGCCTGAGTTGTTTGTATCCCAGCTCTGCCACTTGGCACTGAACTGCATGTATCAGTTTTCCCATCAGCAAAATGGGGATAATGGTGGTTCCTACTCCTTGGGGTGGCTGTGGATAGTACAGGAGCTTTGCAGGTAAGATGTGTTTAGAATAGTGCTTGGGGTGAGGGGGTTCATTTGGGGGATTGCTGTGGTTCCTGTTTGGCTCCTCAGGGGGAGGGGTGGCGGGCCCGCTGGCTCACCAGCAAGCTCTGCAGCACGTTGAGCAGGTCGTTGAGGCCTGACAGGTCCCTCACGTCCCTGAAGATGGCCACCAGCACGGTGGGCAGGATGGCGCAGGAGCGAGTAAGCAGGACCCGGGCAAAGCGTGACCACCGCAGCTTCAGGAAGCCCTGGGGTGTGGTGGGTACCTTAGTGGCGGTGTGCAGGACTGGGGGTTCCAGGGGAGGGGCCCTCAGTCCTCCCTCAGCCCATGTCACGCCTGGGGAGACCCTCTGTTTTTTCCATCTTTGAAATGGGGGCAGCTCTGTCCATAGTTGGCGGTGAGGGGATAGATGGGGAGAAATTAGGGAGTGTTCCTCTCCCACAGCTGATTGCTGAAAATCAGTTTTGAGGAAAAGGCTCTTATTAGTCCTGGGTCTGCAGCCTTGGGTCAGTCGCCTCACATCCCTGAATCTCAGTTTTCTCATCTGTAAATTAGGGCTTATCATGGAACCCGCTGGGCTGCCGTAAGAATCAAGGAGGTCGGTGTCCAAGTCCCCAGGAGTGTGTCTGTTGTCGTTGGACCCCTGTCCACCCATGCCCGCCACCTCCATCACAAACTGTCCCGCGTAGGTGCCGGTCATGGTGGAGCTCTGCCCAGCGGCCAGAAGACCCACCGCCCAGATGTAGAGCGCGGCAGGGCCAAAGAGGCAACCGAGGATCACGCCCTGGAGGGAGGGATGTGGTCAGACCCAGGGACTCGCCCCTTCTCTCAAGGTTCCGCCCCTGAGGTGGGCGTGGCAAGGAGCCCCGCGGGATCCAGTATTTCCAAGCCCACCCCTGCTGCGCTCACGCTTACTCCTTGGTAAATGTCCACCGCCACTGTAAGGTTGTTCATGGGGAAGATCTTGGCATAGTCATGGAGGCTGCTGTTGGCACAGATGTTGTACTGCGGACACCAGGCGGTAGGAGGGAAATGGAAGCGCACACTTAGTCCTGGAAAATCAGACCTTCAGGCCTTGACCAGGGGTCTGAAACTGGTGGCCCGCGGGCTGAATCCAGCCAGACATATTTTGTTTGTCTAACAAAGGTTTTTTTTTTTTCTTTAATGTGAATTTGTCGATAACATTCAAAATTGAGAAGAATTAACATGAGAACCCACCTTCCAGCTTCTCTTGGATTTGCAAGAGCAGGCATTACCACAAACAATTGGCTGGCAGTGACTCAAGCTACCCCACAGTCCCTTCTTCCTTACCTGAGACCCACTTCCCACAGCCCTGCGACTGGGCTGCTCACGAAGACAAAGTTTTGCCATTCCTATTTAAACCTCTCTCCTTGTGCTAAGGAGCAGAGACCCAGGGAGGGGTGTGACTTCATAAGGTCACACAGCAAGGCAATGGCATCTCCCATGTCCCCAGAGGCCTGACCAGTCTGTCCCCACCCCCACCTCCACTCCCCAGCAATCAGTAAGCACCCAACACTGGCTAGCAATTGTTAGAGCCTCAGGACAGAGACCCACTCAGAAATCAAGACAGGCGCAGGCCCCAAATCCCAGAGTGCCTGAGATGTGCCGGCCAGCTCCTTCTCTTTCATATTCAGCTCAAATGTCACCCCCTACAAGAGGCCTCTCCTGACCACCGGGGCTAATGTAGTAGCCCCTCCATCACCACACCCCCGATTATGTTTCATCACCCACTTTACTTCCTTCACAGCACAGTTCATATTTTCCTTTGTGTACTGATTGGTTGATTTGTTTCCTGTTTGCTCACGCTTCCAAACTTAATCTGCAGGTGGGCAAGGTCTTTGTATCGTTGATTGCTGTATCCCCAGGGTCTAAGACACTGGCTGCTACATAACAAATGCTCAGTAAATATTTGTCAGATGACTGACAGTTTATCTACTAATGATGAAGATTATCAGGAGAGACTCAAGAGAAGAAATTGACTGCCTGCATATTCCCAACCCCATGCTCACGCTTAGGCAGGCACCTCCTCCCAGCGTGCCCTCCCTGCAGTTTGCTGGGCAAATCCTGCCCATCCTTCAAGGTGCAGTTGGAATTCTGGGTCCTCCAAGATTCAGCTACTCCTCCCAACCACCTCTGCTGGACGCCTGTGCCTTGCAGCCCCTGATGTGGGGAATGACCCTCTACAAGCCTGTGGTGGGGCGGGGGGAGCTGTGTCTCCCCAGTGGGATGAGAAAGGGGCTCCCAGTCAGAAGCCAGGGTCACAGATTCCCTCTCCTACCAGTGCCTGGAGTGCAGGACAGAGACTCAAAGGGCTTCGCTGCATTGCTTGGCATTCCCAGCAAAGCCTGCAAGGCATGTGTGTATGGGGTGTGCCTCACCGCAGCCTGGTTGGTTTGCTGGTAGAAGGCTTGCCCAAAGACAGCTACAACAAAGAGGTTGATGAAGAAGGAGACAGACAGGGCAATGGTGGCTTCGATCAGGAAGTACATATTGGCTTCTCGGATGTCTGCCCGATGGGTCCGATCTACCTCTCGAGACTGTGAAGGTCAAAAGAGAGGGAAGCACTAAGTCCGTCAGAGTTGCCCAAACATTCTTTACTCTCACACATCTACCTATGTTCCCCCAAACCCCAGTTCTTTCTAAAACCCCCTATATGGCAGTCTGTGATAAGCCTTTGTTTCTGCCTCAGGGCCTTTACACTTGCTAGTCCCTCTGCTTAGAATATTTTCTCCCCTGATCTTTCTTCCTGTCCTTCACGTTTCAAAGGTCGCTGCCTTAGAAAGGCCTTTCCTGACTACCTTTTCTAAAGGACCATCTCCCCTCAGTCATTCTCTATCATACTCCTCTGTTTAGTTTCCTTCAGAGCACCTTTCACAATAATTCTTTCCTTGTTTACTTGTCTGTTTCCCCTGCTGGAATGTATGCTCTAAGAAGGCAGAGGGCTTCTTAGTCCTCACTACCCGCCGCCCGGCCTTCCCATTTATCACTGACTCCCAGCTACCGCTCATAGATGCTCTATTATTATATATTGGATAAAGAATGATTCACTTCCCACCTAAAATGATGAAGGAAGGCAGGAGCCAAGGGGGCAGGGATCCAGCCTTGGAGACAGGCCAGCGTGGCTCTAAGGGAGAGGGCCCCTCCCCTCCAGTCGGCTCACCTTGACCAGGGCCGAGTGCAGGTAGATGTTGTGGGGCATGATGATGGCGCCAACGATGCCTACGGCCTGCAGCAGCTCGGGGCGGCCGCATCCAGGGCACGAAGGCAGGAACAGGCCCCGAAGAACTGCTACCTGATCAGGTCTCGCCACCGCGTACTGCAGAGACGAACCTCATCAGGCCCCGCCCCGTCCCTGAGCAGCCATTCTCGCCCTCCACCCCGTCCTGGCCGCCAGGGGGCGTGACTAAGGCCTGCTAACCCCGCCCCTCAGGCTCTTCAGCGGGCAGAGTAGGGAGCCCCTTGACGTTTGTGCAGGGAGGCGGGTGTTTGGGCTCTGGCTTCCCACCTCATAGCCGAAGGTCAAGGCCATAATGGTAATAAGGAATCCAAAAAAGGCTTCCAGCTTCCGCAACCCTAGGAAGAGAGCAAAGGGACAGAACCCAAAAAACAAAACGAAACAAGATCAAAATTGTAACATAAGCAACTATTAATGGCTGATATCTTGAGCAATTTGTTCTGGGCACTGTGCCAAGGGCTTAACATACATTACCTCAGTGGATCCTCACCACAGCCCTGTGAAGCCTGTACTATTATTATCTCCATATTATAGTTGAAGAAACAGAAGTCTAACTTGCTCAAGGCCATACAGATTGAGGCTGCTCAGAGCCCTTCTCCCAGTACAGCTGAGCATCAGTTGGCTCCTACATTCATTTGCCAGTCCCTTGTCCCCAAGTCCCCTATGAGAATGAGAGGAAACTCACCATAGTTATCGAGGAAGAGGAAGAAGAAAGTGTCCACGATGGTGATGAGGACGCCACCCCAGAGTGGGATTCTGAAACCAGAATGGCCTGGCTCAGCCCAGCCTGGTCCATGAGTCTGGATTGCCCACCCCCAGGGCTAGAGACTGTTGAATCTGGTATTTTGGGAGCAGGCATTCAAGTGGCTCCAAACAGCTAAGGGAGAGGGGAGTGGGAGAGTTCTGGAGACAGGGACATGGCACATACACGCTAGGAAGGGCCAAGCTGCGTGGGGGACCAGCATGGCAGTGAGCTCGAGGCTGTGGCCCTACAGGCTGCATGGTGACTGACATCTGTTTGACTTGAGACACACTTTACATATCTGGGTCTCCGTTTCCCCAACTGGCAAATTGGGCAATAGCTCTGAGTCAGAGGGGACTGCAGGATGAAGTGGATGCAGGGAAATAGAAGGCCCAGGGAGAAAGAAGCAGCTGTTCCCAGCCCTGGACAGAAGAGCTGGGGCCCCTGCTGAGTACCGTCCAGCTGAGAGCAGACTGAATGCAATAGCTGTGCCGATGACTTCCTGCATGTCTGAGCCCACGATGGCTACCTCGATAGTCAGCCAGAGGAGGGTGCGGGGCACCTAGTGGGTAGAGGTAACCCTTTATCAAGGCTAGGCCAGGTACTTGTATCTTGTCTTGGCCCTACACTCACCTTGCTATACCCGGTTCTATGTTGCTGGGCTGGAAGCTTGCAAACTACATATACAAGACAGCTTTGCCAGCTGGCTTCCAATTAGGTTTCATGGTGCAAAATTAATCAACAGAAACCTCAATTAAATTGAGTTGGGAGACCAGAACCGGAAGCTCCCATGCCCTGTGAAAATAGTGGAGCCCAACAAGAAGAAAGACTGCTCTTCTTTCCTGGCAAGGACTCAGCCACTGAAGCACTGTGAACTCTTTATTAACTTTCACCCTCTCCCACTTCCCTTTCCCCTCCATAAAAGTGTTCTTCCGTTATCGTGCGGAGACCTGGTTACAGGCCCCCTAATTCTCTGCTCATCCTGAATAAACCCATCTTTGCTGGAGAAATATCTGGCAGTTTATTTGTTTTAGGTCAATGGTAGGAAATAGTTCAGGGAAACTAAAAGGCAGGGAGAGAGTGTTTTTACCCCTGCTTCTGGAGGTGTTTCTGACAGTGGAACCAGCAGAATGTCTGGGCTCCAGCAGCACTGGCAGCTATTTGTGCAGTGGCGGCAGTATTTCTAGAAACTTGGCAGCAACTTATGGCCCTTGGGCTCCCGTCCAGCAGCTTACTGACCTCTGGGCAACATCTCTTTCCCTTGTTTCTCCAGCCCTTTCAACACCTTTGGGACTACATCCCTGCATTAGGTACCTTTGAAATCTCTAGTGCTATAATTTGTTTGTCTGCCTGGATAATGACAATAGCCAAGTCCCCAGTGTCCACCCCAGCCAGTGCTTATCTCAAGCCAATGCCCACCTGTTTTTCACCTTGGGCTAGTCACTCCCCCAGGTTTCAATTTCCCCTTCTGCAAAATGAGCAAGGTATCTCTAACTTCCCTATCAAACTGTGTTCTAGTAGTTTGAGCCTCAGTCTTATCTATCAAGTGGACTTGTGATGCCCCACTTGAGATGATGTATTTATTTGATCTTGGAAGCTTTAAATGGCTGTCTGAGCCCACGGATGCTTCCTGGCCAGGCGCACGAAGCTCACCTTAGGGTAGTAGAGATGGCAGACCTCGCCCAAGTCCTTGCCTGTCACCACACCCAGCCGGGCAGCAAGTCGCTGGCAGAGCAAGCCCAACACCGTGGCCCACAACAGCACCCAGAGCAGCTGTGAGAAGCCAGGGAGAGGCCTTCAGCCAGTGGGGCCAGTCTCCGATAACCCCCAAGCTGCTGGTACCTTCTAACCAAGACACTCCCCAGGGAGAGAGTGGGGGAGATGAAGCTAGAAGACTACCAGCCCTACACCCCACACTCGGGCAGGGCTGCCCAGGGGACCCTTTTTTGGCCGCTTTGAACTCAACACCTTCTCCCAGGAACATCCCCCATGCAGTCCACTCCAGGGCAATGCAGCAAGCTGGGGGCTTCCACCCACTTAGCCTGGTCAACCCCCTCCCCACAGCGCCCAGGCTCAATCACTTTGAATCCAGCCACAGCGCCAGCCTGAAGATCGGACTCGATGTTTCCTGGGTCCAGGAAAGCGATGCTCATGAGGAAGCCAGGCCCCGTGAAGGCCCACAGCGTCCGCAGGCTGAACACACCCTGTGGGGAAGAGCAGAGTCAGGGGTCCTGGGTGCAGGCGTCGAGGGAAAGCTAGCTTTGGCCAGCCCCCAGCCGAGACCCCCTGGACTCATCCACCCAGGCTGGCTAGCTCTGCCCTCCATTCTCCATTCCTGAAGGTGCCACCCCAGTGGGTAGTGGAGCACATGGAAGGAACTCAGGATGTGCTGAGTCACAGCAGTCAGCTCTCTGGATGGGTTTGCTTCTGTGGTCTACACCTCACGCCGGCCCTGACTCAGCAGATCCTCAGAGCCGAAAGGGGAGCTTTTCTGGGTCAGGCCTCCCTGGTCCAGCTCCTCCCTCTCTGGCCCCTTCTCAGACCACAGGAGAGAGCCCACAAAGCCTAGGGTCTCCCCACCCCCAATTCCAGGGCTTCCCTGGCAGCCTGGGCATCGTCTAAAGAGTCTAGAAATGCAGGGCGGCGGGGTCCTAGAAGCCAGCCTGCAGGCTCTGCTGCTCCTGATGCCCTTGCTGGGTCCTTTTCTTAAATGTTACAACAAATCCTCGAGGCACCGACCTGAATTCACTCCAGGTCCCTTTCCCTTCCTAGGAAAGCTGAGATTCATCCAGAAAGCCACTTGATAATTTTTAGACAAATATTAAGCACTCCAGCCAAGCACTGGGGACTGAAGCAGGAAGATAGCAGTTACCACTGTCCGTCACTGCTGCTCAGAGCTGAAAGGGACTTGCCATGGTCTTCAGGAGACTACCTTCCCCCATCCTATATGATCCTGTCCATCCTGAAAGCCCCCAGGAAGTTTCCAGCATTCCCACCGGTTTGGTGTCCGGGATAGGGATCTTCTCATTCAGGTTGGACCCTCCGGGAGGTGCTTGCCGTGGCCCCAGGCTAGGCGGGCTGGAGATGGAGCCATAGTTGGGCCTACTCAGCCTTTGGGGGCTTGTGTCACCTGCGAGGGGTCCCATAAGGCTTGGTGAGTGAACTGCCTCTTTCTGGCCCAGGGTTAAAGCCATCTGTCCTCCTCCCTCACCTCCTCCTAGCAAAGTGGAGAAACCCTTGACTCCCATTGTGGGTCTATCACACCTCCACCCCTGGACCAAACATTCCAGAAGATGTGTGAGAAGCAGAGTCTTCAGAATTACTCTCCTTCCACATGAGTTCAGGGATTCCCAAATCTGGATCTCTCTTGCTACAGAGAATGCAGAGAGGAACACCAGCACTAAGGAGGTCAAACTGACACCAGCATGAATGCCTCTTGGCCTCACCTCTGCCTCCTCTAGCAGCCAAGGAAGCTCCAGGGGCTCCAAATCCACAGAGATGAGGCAAGGGGATGCTCTGCCTTTGGGAGTATGAAGAGCTCAACCCAGGCTGGGTCTCGAATTTTGGTTGAGACCAGGACTCCCATGGGGAACAGGGACTTCCTTTGTTACTGCCACCCACCCACCACCCATTCAGGCTGTGTCCCTGGAGGGGGCTACTCACCTGTCATGAGGACCACAGACTCGGGTGCTTTCTGAGTGAGTGGCGTGCTGGGCGGTTGGTTCTTCAGACTATGTGTCCTCTCTGGGTGCTGGTGAGTGAGCGCGTCCACACCCTTTTACCCATCCTCAGCGGAGCTCAGCTGTCCTCACACACACAGGGAGTTGTGAAACACTTTCCAAAGGCAGAAGTGGGCAGCTCTGGCGGAAGGCTCTGCTGGGCCACAGTCTGGACTTTCGTTTCCCTTCAAACCTGAGCTTCACAACACTTCTGGCTCCCTTCCAGGGCACCCTGAACTCTGTGCCTCCCAGCTTAGCTCTGATCGGAGGCTTCCTGACACTTGGGGATTCATGTCTAGATCATAGGACTGCCACCCCCAACCCCCGACCCCTTCTCCTTTTCAATCTTGGGTCCTACGGCCACTGGTTGGCCTAATGAGAGAGAGGGAGTTCTAATGGCCTAGGTAGGTCACAGTTTCCTGTTAAGTGCCTCAGAGGAAAAGACTTTCTAGGACCTGCCACAGGGGACATGCATTGAAGATGCAGGCCAAGGAGAGCCTCAGAACAAAAGGGCATTGGAATTCTGGTCCTGGTTCTGCCACTGATCCACTTGACATTGTCAACAGATCATGTCCTGTCTCTGAGCTTGTGTCTTCTGTTAAATAAAGGACTCAGACTGGCTAACAGGTCAAAAATTTAAGTGCATAAGAAGGCCAGGCAAGTAAGATAAACTATGAGACAGGATAGGAATGAGAAAACCAGGGCCAGCTCAGTGGAGAATGACAAATGCTGCCAAGCCTCAGCGTCGGGGGTGGGGGGCGGTGGTAATAGGGAGTGGTGGAGACTGTAGCAAAACAAAGGTCCTATACTCTGTCTAAAGAGGATCATGCTTACAGAGTTCCAGGCAATTGTCATGTGGGAATGTGGGCCCCCTGTCACCGTGTGTCCTGACTTGTCAAGGATGCTGAAAAATTTGGAATTTTATGCAACATATGCTTTTTGAATACTAGTCTCAATTTTTTTTGAAAATATTGTATAATCTAAACAGACATTTCTATGGGCTGAATTCTATTTGAAGGTTACCAGTCTCTAACATCTGCATAAGTGTTGGACAAGACCCTTCTAGCTCCCAGTTTCTTCTCCTTGCCAGCTCCTGTACTCCCCCACTTACCTCCTCAGAGTTTTCTCACTGCCATGCCCACTCACATCCTCTATCCTGGAGCTTTTATTTTCTGCCAAGAATATTCAAAACCTTAACTGTCATGCGGTTTCCAACTCCAAAGTCTGCAACCTCAGGACCCAGAGAAAACAGGGGCAGTTTCTCACACCTAGACCTGATCTGGGATATGATGTATCCCCACACTGAGTCAAAACCTTTAGCCAAAGCTTGGGACCTCAAGGTTGGAGGGAGCAGCCAGTTTCCTGGCTCCCCTTGAATAGGGGAAGATGGAGAGATTGGAGAGGTAGGGATGTGGGAAGAGGGGTGAATGGTGGGTCAGAGAGGAGAGAGCAGCTTCAGTGTGCAATCCTATTGCTCAAGGTACCCGCGTCATCCCTGACCTCTAGAGTTTGCACATATTCGCAGTCATTAACTTGGACTCTTGTGGGGATGACTGGAGGGTAGGGCTGGGGCAGGATGTGATGGTTAAAGTTTTTGCATCAACCATGGCGTGCCCAGTTATTTGGTCAAACATTCTGGGTGTGTCTGTGAGGGTGTTTTTGGAGGAGATTAACATTTGAATCAGTAGACCAGTGGAGGGATGGGCAAAACTTAGTGGTAGAGTGCATGCTTAGCATGCATGAGGTCCTGGGTTCAATCCTTAGTACTTCTATTAAGAAAAAAAGAAAAAAGAAATGGTAGACTGAGGAAAGTAGATTTCCCTTCCTGATGTCGATGGGCCTCATCCAACCAACTGAAGACCTAAAGAGAGCAAAAGGCTGAGTAAGGGAGAATTCTCTCTCCCTCTCTGCTGCCTTTGAACTGGGACGTTTTTCATCTCCTGTCTTCAGTCTTGGCTTGGACTAGAACTTACAACTGTTGGCCCTCCTGGGTCTCAGGCCTTCAGACTCAGACTGGAATTGTATATACTATTGGCTGTCTTGGGGCTCCAGCTAGCAATTCTTGAGACTTCTCAGACCCTATATGGCATGAGCCAATTCCTTATAATCTATCTGTTTATCTATCCATCCATCCATCCATCTGTATTGCCTATTGGTTCTGTTTCTCTGGAGAACTCTGACTAAAACAGATGCCTTCTTCTTTGCATCTTTTGTGGGGCCTTACCTATAGACAGAAACTTGGTGAGTGTAATTGATTAATGACTGATCAATACCCTGCATAGCCTCTAACTTACAGACAAGTATGTGTCTCTGAGTTTGAAAGAATGTGTCAAGGGTTTTGGGCAGAGTGTCTACATGAACCAGAGTTCCAGAAATCTGCCTAGTGATCCCCTTGGATCTGGAGCTGCTGCTGAATAGTAAACCCTGCATGTGTAGGGTGAAATTTCATGAAACTCAATTCCCTCAAGATGGATCATAGTCTTAAATGTAAATATAAAACTCAAAAACTTTTAGAAAAAAAACGGGGGAAAATCTTCAGAATCTAGGACCAGACAAAGACTTGTTAGACTTGATACCATAAGCATGATTTATAAAGGGAAAAACTGATAAATTGGACCTCATCAAAATTAAAAACTTATGCACTGTGAAGGACTCTGTTAAGAGGATGAAAAGACAAACTAAAGACTCAGAGAAAAATATTTGCAAACAATACATCTGACCAATACCAGTACCTAGAAGTAAGAAAGTCTGTTAAAACTTGAGTGAAAAACCAAACAATCCAATGAGAAATGGGCAAAAATCACAAACACTCATTTCACCAGACAGGATGTACAGATGGCAGACAAACATATGAAAAGATGTTCAGCATTATTAAACATTAGGGACAGGGAAATTAGATCATAATGAGATATCATTGCACCCCTATCAGAACTGCTAAAATAAAAAATAGTCACAATACCAAATGTTGGTGGGGATGTAGGGGAGCTAGATCCCTCATATGTTGCTGGTGAGAATGTAAAATGGTACAGACACTCTGGAGACAGTTTGGAAATTTCTTTAAAAATTAAAATGCAACTACTATATGATTCACTCTAGGCACTTCGTATGCATTTTTTCCCCAGAGAAATGATGATTTATGTTCACACAAAAATCTGTACAGAAACTTTTATAGCGGCTTTATTCATAATAGCCCAAACCGAAAACAACCCATACTGTCCTTCAACAGATGAATGGTTAACCAAAGTATGGTACATCCATACCATAGAGTATACTATGGTATTCACATGATATATATATGTATAGTATAGTATACATTTATCCCAGAGAGATTAAAACTTATGTTCACACAAAACCCTGTATATAAGTGTTTATAACAGCTTTATTTGTAATAGTCAAAATCTAGATTCAGCGATGTTCTTCAACAGGAGAACTGTTAAACTCACTGCAATACAAACCACCGATTACTACTCAGCAGTGAAAGGAACAAACTAATAACATACAGTAACTTGGATAAATCTCCAGGTAATCATGCTAAATAAAAAAAGTCAACCTGAAAAGGTTACATATTGTACTATTCCATTGTATAACATTTTTGCAATGGCAGAATTTTGGAAATGAAGGTTAGATTAGTGGTTGCAGTTAGTAGAGATGGGTGAGGTCGGGGGTAGAGAGAGAGGTGTGTGTGATTCTGAAAAAGTAACTTGAAAGATCCTTGTGGTGTTGAAACTATTCAGTACCCTGACCTTGGTGGAGTATACACAAACATACACATTTACAATATACTATACAGAACTTAATACACACGCATGTGAGTATAAGTAAAATGGGGGAAATCTGAAAAAGATCAGTGGACTGTGTCAATATTACTATTCTGGTTTATTGAAAGCAGAGATTCAAACAGATACTTGTACACTCATGTTCTGAGCAACATTTTTCACAATAACCAAACGGTGGAAACAACCCCAATGTCCATCAACAGATGAATAAACAAAATTTGCTATAGCCATCAATGGAATATTATTCAGCCTTTAAAAAGGAATGAAATCCTGATACATGCTATCATATGGATGAACCTTGAAAACATTATGTTAAATGAAATAAGCCGGATGTCAAATGACCACTATGGTGTGATTGCATTTACATGAGGTACATAATGTAGTCAAATTCATAAATATGACAGAGATTCAGAAGGTCATATCTGCACCTTCCAAGGGCATTACCAGCCCTGTTTTATTGTTTTGTTTTTGTTTTTGTTTTTTGCTGTCAAATGTCAAAATGTAAAATTCTTTTTGTAGGACTCCGTCAATCTATAACACTGCTTTTAGTTTATCTGCTCTCATGGTTTCTGAGGGAAAGAAAAAACTCAGAAACAGGCCGGCATTCAGGTATTTGCCTAACCCACATTTCAAGGTCTCTCAGTCTCCCAGATAGTGGGCAACACTTTAGTTGGGGTCCCAGACCCTTCACAGTCTCATTCTGAACCCCTTGCAGGGGCTCAGACATTCCATGTTCCCTCCCTCTCGTCTCCAGGCCTTTGCACATGCTGCTTCCTCTCCAAACATCCTCCACATCCTCTGCCTGGCAAAGAGCCTCTTGTCATTCAGGATTCAGCTGTGGTGTGACCCCTTCCAAGAAGCCTCCCTTGATTTCTCCAGGGCCAGGTTGTGTGCTCCCTCAGCACAATGCCGTCCTCATCTACCTGGGCACCTTACAGTAGTGAATCTGCTGTCAGTGACAATGCATTAGGGATCCAGGGAGTTTCTGGTTGCCTGGGGAAGGGGAAAGACAGGATACAGCCAAGCCTATTCTGGTATCTAAAGCAGGAAGGTGCCTCTTTTCTGTTCTGGGATCTATCTCCAGAGATGTGCATCTGATCTCTTTATCAGAGTGGATCCCCATAGGGACCCGAGCCAGACTCCCCAGATCTAAATCCTGGTTCTGCCACTAACCAGTTATATGGCCTTGGCTTTAACTTTTCCTTCATCTGTAAAATGGGTATGTTAACAGAACCTACCTCATAGGGGTGTTGTGAGAATCACATGAATTATCATGTGTAGAGGGATTAGCATTAGTAAGTGCTGTATAGGGTTTGCTCTTATTACTATTCCTTTCCCTCTGCCTCCCTGGGCTCTCACAGTAGGTCAAGGCCACATCAAACAACCTAATGTTGCAGGTATATGTTTCCTTCTTAGCACTTTCCATGGTCTACATTTACACATTCATCCATGGGACCCTTGACAGATGTCTCTTCCCTTCTAGTCTGACCATGTGCCATGTAGGTGGGGCCTGGCTCTGATGCTCACACAGCATCCCCACATCCTAGTCCAGTGCCTGGCAATTCAGAAGTGCTCCATGTCTGTTTTTATTTTCTTCTGAGAAATATATATCTTAGTATTATGGAGTAAGAAGAGGGTCATCAAAGCTCTGGGGACAAATGATATGATCTAAAAAACTAGTTTTGGGGGGAGGGTGTAGCTCAGGCAGTAAAGTGCATGTGTAGCATGCATGAGGTCCTGGCTTTAATCCCCAATACCTCCTCTAAAAACAAAACTAATTACCTTCTCCTGCCTAAATAAATAAATTTAAAAATCATTTTAAAAACCTAATTTTGAAATAAATGTCACAGAGCAGGTAAGGAAGTGGCAGACTTACTTTTCCCAAGTCACCTGATTCAAGAGTGCTCAGCCACGGAAGGCTGCCTATGGGTTGGATGGTACTTCCCTTCCAGCCTTTCCTGACTGCTGCAGAGTATCTGGGACTGGATGGGGCTCTCACAATCTTTATAGGAACATTCTGGGTGCATTGGGCTGAGTCAGTTTCCATTCTCCATGGATGAAGAGAACTTGCCAGGGCCTAGGAGGCCCTCTAAGACCCAGCCCTCCTTTCCTCACTGTGGCTGAGCACCCTCTTTGCCAGCTCCTCCTCCCCCCTCCTCACTGGAGTCTCACTGACTTTCAGTCCCCAATATGTCTTGTTTAGAGCCTTTGCACTTGCTGTACCCTCTGCCTAAAATGCTTTTCCCGCAGCTCTTCACAGGTCTGACTCCTTATAATTCAGATCCCAACTCAGCTGAGACACAAGACAGGCCCTCCCTGACCTCTCCACCCTCGACCCTCCAACCCTGAGTCACTTTCTACCAATGACTTGACCTTCATTGTTTTCAGAAATGTCTGAAATTTCACATAAGAAATTATCTTTTGTGTTTATTGTTTATCTCCCCATGCTACCTGCAAGTACCATGAAGACAGGGACTTGGTCTTGTCCCTGCTGATCTTCCAGTGCTTAGAATAGCCCTGGCACATGGAAGGAGACCAATATTTGTTGAGCTGATTGCCTGATTGAATGAAAAGAACTTATCCTCTAGAGCTGTTGTGGTCCATTCTGGTAGCCACTAGCCACATATGGCTATTTAAATTGAAATTAATTAAAATTCAAGTAGAATTTCAGTTCTTCAGTTACATTAACCACATTTCTAGTGCTCAGTGGCCACATGTGACTAGTGGTTGCTATATTGGATACTGCAGATAGAGAATATTTCCATCAGTAAAGCCTTGTACATTTTTGGCCCACTCCATTAGACTGCAAAGCTTCTCTGGAGTCCCTCAACTCCTAGCAGGTCCAAGGAATGGACAGATGGAGGGGTGGAGCCTGCATGCCCATTACCAGCTGCCTCAGGGGAGCTTGCCTTAATATTTGTTACTGAACTGTGATCAGTATTAAGCAGAAACAGTTCTGGGCCAGAACTGACAACAAGCAAGGATCCTAAAGGAGGTGATGATCACCTGCTCATCCTTTTTCTTAGGGTGCCAGTAAGGGGCTTCCCCATCACGCAGTTTGGGGGTTCCTTGTGTCCTTGGGAACCAGGAGGAAACAGGTGGCGTGTGAGAGCTGGAGGAGGGAAAGAGGGGGGCGCCGTGGTTGGAAAGCTTCGGAGGAGATGAGCAAGGCCAGTGGTGAATCAGATCCCTTCCTCATCAGCCCCTCCCCACATCATCTGCTCTTTCTCTTAGGCAGGGGAGTGGACAGTTAAGCTCTGTGGAATTCATAATGATTCTGAGTGCCAAGAAGCCCTGCCCCTCCATTCTGGCTAACCTAGTGACTAAAAGTGTAGGTTTGGGGAATCCAAAGTCCAGTTTGAATCCTGCTTCCCACTTGCTAACTCAGTTACTTAAACTTTTTGTGTCTCTATTTTCTTAACTGTAAAAATAGGGATATTGATCATAACGACATCTAGGAAGAAAGGCGTTAAATCGCTGGATAAACCGAGTTTACGGTTCCTATTTTTAGCCTAAGACGCGAGATGCTGGCCAAGGAAGGTTCCGGCAGACAGCAGAGCCGCGGGGAGGCCCCGGATTTATTCCCATAGAAACCGCAGGGCTGAAAGCGCGCCTCCCGGGTGTGTCCCGCCCGAGTCCGAGCCCAGCCTCTACCGCCTACGGGGCCCCCGCCCGCCTAGCTCCCTGCCTGGTCCTCCTCGCCATCGATGCACTCCAGGTCCAGCGCGCGGAAGGGGCTGGGTCGATTGGAGGAGCGCAAGGTCGGAGTTGGCGGGCGTCGCTTTGCGAAGGGGCCGAAGTATTCGGCGGCGAAGGTGACCACGTCGGCCGGCTGGCGCAGCAGCAGGAAGAGCACGAAGTCGGAGATGAGCGCCTGGGCCTCGGGATGGAGCCGCAGATAGCTGCTGTGGCTGAGGCGGAGCTCCTCCTGGCGGGGGACCAAGCCTGAGCCAGACCCGGGATTCCCGCATCCCAGGAGTCTCCCCTGCTTAGCTCCATCGAGGGCTTAGGAACACTCAGGGGTGTGCGTTTCAACCAGGCAGAAAAAGAAATCATTAAGGGTGGAATTTATGCCCAGGGCATGGGGATGGGGAGGATGCGGACCTCAGGCTGGCTGCAGCACCTCCTCACCTTCCGGTCCATGAACCTCGAGTAGAGCTCCATGTCCTCCTCCCACAACAGGGGCTTCTTCTCAAATACTGGGCGCGGCTCAATATCATCTGGGTGGGGAGGGAGGAAGGCTGTGTATTACCACCCCAGAACTGTCCTTTGATATAGAGGGATGCCCAAGGTCACCCAAATTGCTGGCTCAGGTAAAACCCCAGGGTTCTATCCACAAGGGCCGAGTTGCTGGAAGGGGTTCCCAGCAAAATGATAATTGCCTAATTGCTTTGGGGACAAGGGCTAGAAAGCAAAGTTTCACCATCTGATTTCTAGCTCCCATCCCACTTATAGAACACTCAATCCAGCCCCTGCACCCAAGAAGGCTCCAGGTTTCCCCACCCCTTGTTCACTGTCCCACTAGCCAGAAGCTTCACTCACCCTCTTCCCTCAAGATGGGCACCTTAGTGACCATGCAGCAACCTGGGGAGCCCACCTGGATCCTCTTGGCCAGGTGCCTGGAGTGCAACAACAAAGAAGGTGTGAGTCCTCCTAGACCAGCCTACTTCCTGAAGGATGTCCTGGGGCCCTCCCTTTATTGCTATCTCCCCCGCCCCCCAACTTGTCTTTGAGTTCCAGGATCCTGTTCATGTCTAGATCCCCAGATAATGGCTCCTGCTTTTCAAACTGGGTTCTTTAAGGTGTGTGCCTGTGTACAAGGGTTAGACTGAGAACTTTAGGGGTGTAAGCACTAAAAAAACATGAGCCTCCTGCTGTGTGCTATAATCAAAATAGAAACAACAAGCTAAATTATGAAATAAAGAATGCCAATGATGTTCTGATTACTGTTTTTTCCAGTATAGTGACTCTGTCAATACTTCTTTGGAAATCTCAAGAAACAAATGCTTCTCCCTGAATTTCCTTAGGATTTGATGCCTGCACTTTACTGGTGACAGCTTGGCAGTATGCCAGGATGCCTCCCCCAGAACGTTGATTTTATTGACTGCTGAGTTGTTCAAACCTTGGTGTTTTTCAGTGTCACACCCACACCTGTGGCAGCTGCTTTACCTATGCCTTAGGGCCTGTGGAGTCGGCGTTGGCTGCCCCCGCCATTCAGGGCTCTTTGGTGAGGTTTGTGAGGCATTGTCAGGATCAGAAAAATGAGAATATGTAAAGAAAGGGTGAATAATGTGGATAAAGCAGGGAGACTCAGATCTCAACAGCAACTCTCCTGGGTGATGTCCCCAGAAACAGGAGTCTCCCTTTGCCACATCCCCACCGGGTGGTTGAGGTCCTGGGCTTGTGCTCAATATTGCCCCCTTGGCCCCACCATCAGTAGCTCACCCATCAGAGAGCAGGTAAAACTGGCAGGACATGGGGATGCCCTTCTCCGAATGTACAGTCTGCTCCACAATGAACACTTCCACCTGCTGATGGCCCACCTGGATCGTCTGGGAGCCTAGGGCTTGCTGGCAGCAACCAAAATGGAAGGAGGGAGGTGAGGTGGAGGCCCACCAGGGTCTCCCCCCACACCTCACTCTGGCCCTTTTCTCCATCTTGCAGCTTCATTGCTTGTTCACTATTGATATTCAACCCTTGGCTGTCCAGACCCTCAGGCATCCAAGATTTAAGTTGCACCCTCAAGTTAAGTTGGGATCCCCTTATAAAGAGCCAGATCCACCCTGCTGCTCCAGCCCCTCCCCTTGCTACCTGGATGACCAAGTGCTTCCAGCTGGCAGATTCTCTAACAGGGATGACCAGTTAGGTGTGAGTGTGTCGTGGAGGGGTGGGAGCTGGGCTATTTGAGGGGAAGAGAGGTAGTGAGGCTCTGAAGAGGAACTAGACAGAAATTTGTGGCTTCCTCAAGCCCACGCAGGCTGCCCTGTTGTAATTAAAACTCAAACCCTTGTTATGACCACAGCCATAGGGAGAAAATTGCTAACATAAGACTCATGGTTCAAAGAAAATGGGGGGGAAATGGCATGTGCCTATTTGTGTCAAACACATTGCTGTTTGTCGTTTGTCTAGTCTAGTCTAGAAAAGACTAGAATGTAGTTTACAAAATTGGTCAAATCAGCACCCAGCGTGTGTGTTCAGAGGCATAGCTTCAAGATCACATATTGCAGGATGTCCTAAGTATGTTGATGATGAAATCTTAGCCAAAAGAAAAGAAAAAAGAGCACCCTTCAGGGTTGAGACATAATGAAATAATATTTAAGTGCAGTTGGAGATGTTGTATTTCCTGATGTTAAAGAAGGTGTCTTTAAGAGTAGCCCCCCACTAGGTTTATTTTTCCTGGACTGACTTTTGTGCAAAAAGCATAGCTTTCTTCCATGGAGCCCACTTTTTGGTCCCTCTCACTCATTCTACCTGCCTCACACTTGAACTTCTCTCTAACAGATGCAGTCTTACTTTCTCCTGCCATTGAAGTCTCACCTCCATGCCCTGGTTTTAACCCCACCCTCTCTTCCTCCACAGCTGTCTTTTCTCCCACCTCAGCATCCTCCATGCCCCTTCTAGTTTGCCCCAGGCCAAGCCCCCAACCCAGGGAGACCACTTACATAAGTGGAATAGCAGAGTTTGCCCTCTGTGTCCAAGGCCAGGAAACGGGCATTGCTGGGCACTGTCTGCCGCCAGGCCATCACCCTCAGCAACACCAGGTTGGCAGCCTCGGAGACGAAGCCCGCAATTGAGTGCCAGGGGAAAGAAGTCACTTCAGTCTTCACTTCCTGTTCAGGACAAATCTGAGTCAGGGGCCTCGAGCCAGGAACTGGGTGGGGAGCTTGAACAAGCCAGGCGGTGAGCATATGGTCTAGTCCATATGGTCCCCAGTCCAGGCTCCTAGCTGGACCCAATCTGTCCTGTGTGCCTGGTTCCAAAGATGATGTAGATTATGCCTCCCACCTGGCTCTCATCCTTACCTCGCCCTCCTTGACAATTCTGGTCATGGCCAGCTGATCATCCTGCTTCAGCAAACTCATCTTCCGTTCCATGGGGAGGATGGGGAACTAAGGGCCAGAGTATGGAGGGGAGAATCAGGGACTCACTGGACTGTACACAGACAAGATCTCCCAGAGGTCACCTTGTCCATTCTCCTTTACATATGAGAAAACTGAGGGGAGATTTGGGTAGAAAACCTTCCATATATGGCGAAGTTCAAGAATAGAAGTCATATTATGGTACAACATAAATTTAAAAAGCAAAGGCACTTCAGAATACAGATTTTAAAAGGGGGGTGCGTATAGCTAAGTGGTAGAGTGCGTGCTTAGCATGCATGAGGTCCTGGGTTCAATCTTTCATTCCTCCAGTTAAAATAATAATAGTAATAATAAATCTAATGACCACCCCCTCTAAAAAACACCCAATAAATAAAAATAAAAGATGGGCACGGTATCTGCGGGAAGATTATAAAGCACAAGTGGTTTCATTTCAGAAGTCAAATGGGTCACACATTCCAGAAGTTAGTGAAGTGGTTGGGACTGGGTGTTGGGGGCACAGAGCAGGAGAATTTGGAGGTAAGGTGGTGACAAGCTGTTGGGAAAGGCCAGGCTCTGGGTGAGGCCTATCCACATGGCCTCCAGGGAGATGCAGGGCACTCGGGCTGGAGGAGAACCAGGGTGGGATGGACCCAGGAGTTGTGTATCAGGAAAGAGTTATCAGAAGCAACCCGCTGCTGACCTCCAGGACCCTGGACAGATTGGTTCCCAGGTTGTGTGTGGTTGCAGGGGAACTGGGATGAGTTGGGGATGACATTCCTCTGAGCCCCCTCTTTGTCTCTCATCCCCAGGGTCTCACCCTGGATTGAAATCAAGGCTGGGGACCCTAGGAGGTACCTTGATGAACTCCTGATTATGTTGTTCCATGGGCTCCAGTTTCCATGTCAGGTAGCCTGGGAGGAGGGAGGTGAATGCTGCTGTCACAGGAGATAGGGCTGGAGATTGCAGGAAGGAAGGGTGGTGGCCCAGGCTGGGGGACTCAGGTGTAGGGTGGCCACAGGGTAAACTAAGCAGTGCTTTTACCTTGAGGCTGTGATTAAACCCCTGTCACCCCCATGTCCCATGCACTCTCTTTGCTTCATTCTAGTCTCAAGGTGAGGTCAAAGGGTTGGTCCTGAGTGAAAGTTCTGGGAGTGTCAGGGGGAGGGGGGTAGGGCAGTGGGGAAGGATGAGGGTGGAGGGTGTCAGGCAGCAGAAACTCTACCCAGAAGGGAGTTTCCACAGAGTATGTTGTCCATGAAGCCTCGGCTAAAGGCATGCACGAAGAGGCAGCGTGACATGACGCCAAATTTGTCCTTGTGTTTCCCCACCTGCACCTCGATGGTCAGTTCTCCCTGAGGCTGCCCTGTGTCCGAGACCATGACCAGAGCCTCCGAGAAGAACAGCATCAGCAGCTCCTCCTGCCCTGGGGGTGAGGGTCCAATGGGGACAGTTAAAGTCTCAGCTTTTAGACCTCAACTCTCTGCCCTCCTGGTTACCAGTGCCTCCAGAGCATCCACCCAGCCCCTCTTCACTCCACGTCTCCCAGGCAGCCCCGCCTCCCCTCCACTGGCCTCTACAGCAGCCAGTAGGTGAAGACCCCCTTGCTGCCCACTAATCCCCACCATGTCCCTGGGGTCTTCCCTTGAAGAATATCAACAAATAGACCTCATGCCCTTTCTGAGTCCCAGGAGAATCAAGGCTGAGAGAGACAAGGACTAGGTCTGGGCCTTCTCTCTTCCCTCTCGTCCACACTGGTGCCCACCCGCTCCGCCTCCACTGCCCAGGCTCACGGAGGGAGTTGAGGAAGTGGATGGCTTCAGCATTGGCCTCTGGGGGTGCCAGACTCTCTTGGGCTGAGGGCTGGTGGCCTTTGGCTTTGGAGCCTATGGAGGAAGAAAAGGCTGAGATGGTGGACCCTGGGGAGAAGGACAAGGTGCGGCAGGCGTCCCAAGAGCAGAATCCTCCAGGGCCACCCCTGGGTGGATTGTGAGGGAGAAGATCACCTCCTCTTTCCAGTGCACCCCCCCTCCCCACCCCTCAGCCCTCTTCCCACCTTTGGACTGAACTTTGGAGGACATGCTGCTTGCTGCTACCCGGTCTGTATCCAGCTGTCTCCATGGCAACCAGGAGCTAGCTACCGCCTCTTAAAGGGCCAGCAACCTACTTCACTGAACACCCAGACCTTGGAGGAAATGATAGGAACTGTGGCTTCTGGGGCTCAGCCCAAGCCTGAGATATTGTCCAGCAGAGTGAGCTCTTGACATTCTTAAGAGGCAGGGGGATGACATGGGTCATTAGAATGACCTTAGAAGATGTGGCCCTGAGTCTGACACCACCTTTCACGCATAGAATCCAATTAGATGCCATGTGAATAGCCTACATATCGTGGTCCTAACACGTAACAGTGATACTGCCAGTAATGACAATCACAGCAGACCCTTAAACTACACTTACCCTCTACCAGGCACTGTTCCAAAGAGCTTCACATATGTTAGCTCTAATCTTCAGACTAAACCTGTGATCAGGAGATTTTTTCCCCCTCAACTTTATGGCTAAGAAAACTGAGGCACTGAGAGGTTCAATGTCTTCTCAAGGTCACACAGCTAATAACTGGCAGAGCCAGGACACAACCCAAGGCAGTTTGGTTCCAGAGTCAGAGAGAATTCAAGGGAAAATGAAGCAGCAAATAGATGATGCATTGGATCCAAGCAAGTGGTAACGTAACATGGGTAGTGATTAGAGAAAAAAGACTTGAAAATTGAATTATGGTATGACTCAAATACACTGTAGGTGGGAATGTAAATTGGTACAGCCACCATGGAAAACAATATGGAGGCTACTACATGGCCCAGCTATTCTGCTCCTGGGCACATACCGGAGAAAGACAAAAACATTCATTAAAAAAGATACAAACACCCTGCTATTAACAGCAGCACCACTCACAATTGCCAAGACACGGAAGCATCCTAAGTGCACACCAATAGATGAATGGATAAAGAAGACATAGCATATATATGCAACAGAATACAGCTCACAAAAAGAAGGATATTTTGCCATTTGTGGCCCTTCATTTGCTTTTTTTTGCTCTTCAAAAACCAGAATTTTAAAACTGGCATAAACATTTCCATTGCATCAAAAGCAACAAAATACCTAGAAATAACCCTAACCAAGGAGGTTGCCTATACTCTGAAAACTGTAAAATACAGATGAAGTAAACTGAAGATGATACAAAGAAATGGAAAGATATCTTGTGTCCTTGGATTGGAAGAATGAACATTATCAAAATGGTGAGTGTTAATTTTGAAAAGCCAAAGTGAATTTTGAATAAGCCTTGCTCTGCACGTGAGCCCCAGTTAGTGGCAATAAGAAACTGAAAATTGCTTTGGGAAGTAGTTTGTTAGTTCCTCAAAATGTTAAACATGGAGTTACTATATGACTCAGCAATTTCACTCGTGGGTATATACCCAAGGGGATTGAAAACATCTGTTCACACAAAAATTTATACACAGATGTTCATAGCATCATTATTCGTAATAGTCAAAAAGTGGAAACAACACAACTGTTCATCAACTGACAAATGGATAAACAAAATGTAGTGTATGTGTGTATATATATATAAAAATATTAGTCAGCCTTAAAAAGGAACAAAGCACTGATGCCTGATACGATATGGCTGAACCTTGAAAACACCTTGAGTGAAAGAAGCCAGTCATAAAAGACCATAAGTTGTATGATTCCATTTATATGATTAAATGTCCAGAATAGGCAAATCTATAGCGGCAAAAAGGAGATCAGTGGTTACTTGGTGTGGGGGTAGTGTGGGGTGTGGAAGCAGGGAGTGACATCAAATGGGCATGGGGTTTCTTTTGGGGGTGCTGAAAATATTCTAAAATTAGATTGCAGGGATGGTTGCAAAACTGTGTATATACTAAAACTCACTTTAAAACTGTATACTTTAAAAGAGTGAATTTTATGTAATGTAAACTATATCTCAATAAAGTTGTTAATAAAAAATGGACAATTAAAATAAAATGTTTAAAAAAGCAAATCCTATTGCCTTCATATGTGAATTATTTAAAGTTTGACAAAATCGTTTTGACTTGGAGAAGGTTAAAAAAAAGAAGCAAAATTGCTCCTTTTTAGATGCTCTTTAAGGGATGCCCACATGGTCCCCCCTTCCCGATCCCAGCTGTTCTGGGAGGGGTCCTCTATATTTTAGAGCTCTTCTCCTGTTACCCCCACTCTGCCCCTCACCTCTCCTCTGTCAGGTCCCTCCATCAGCTGCACGGGATCCTCACCTGCCTGCCCTCACAGGCTCCCGCCTCCTGGGAGCCCATGTTCTCAAGTTTCTCACTGCCCCCAGATTTCTTCCCGCTTGGTGCTGGCTGTTTCCTGCTAGCTGCTTAGGGGAGAAAGCAATTTGGCGAAGTGGATCACAGAAGGATCAACATCCAGTTTGTTGTCAATTTTTTTTAACTGTCTGAAAGAGATCTGTGAAGGACCCTCGTTACTGTCCCCCTTTAGAGCCTGATAGGCCGGTGGAAGGATGCTCTGGAGCGGTTGACATACTAGCTGTGTGGCTGTATTGGGCAGATTGGCCTCTCTGAGCCTGGGACATGGATAGCCTGTGCCCTCCCAGCAGCTGGGATCGGCATCTACTGAACGACAGCCATTCCCGCAGAGAGGGCACCCTATGTGCCAAACTCCGCGGGTAGTATCTCATTTAATCCTCACAGTCAGCTTCTGAGGTGGTGTTAGCATCATCTCCAGTGGACAGACGAGAAATGGAGGCACAGAAAGGTTCAGTGACTTGCCCAGGGTCACCCAATTAATAAATGGAGATTGTGGACTCCGACCCAGTTGGGCTGGCTTAAGTCCATGTTCTCATTCACCTTGCCCTACTGTCCCTGACAGGCCAGCCCTGAGTTTATTAGTAACAGTAAGAGGAAAGGAAGGCTGCTGGTCACTGAACACCATTGTGCATCTCATTTATGTCTCCCGGCCACTCCAGAAATAGGCTCAGTGATATGAGTCCCTGATGCGGTGTTAACCGCGGTCAATTAGAGGTAGAACCTATATTCAAATCCAGACCAGTGCAATTGCAAGTCATGTCTCTTTCTACCATCCTGTCCCGCCTTCGGCCCAAGCCTGACCCCCAGGATCAGCCTGTGATTCAGGAAAAAAATGGAAAAAATGAACTGCTTACAGGTTATTTTTAAAACTACGTTTGAAATTCTTCAAACACCTTTGAGGCCATATGTCCACCTCCATTTCTTCTTTATAATGAATTATAGCACCACAAATCAGTTGTAAGAAAGAAAATGGGATATAGCGTTTTCCAAAGTGACTTCATATGCCTTTCTCACCTAACTCTCCTATTAGCCTCCAAATAAGTAGGCTTGTTGGTGAAGGTTTATGATTTTGCTGCCTAGCATCATCTCTGGTATCAGACCCCCAATTCTTTTGGGGGACACTTTCCCCACTTTCAGTGCGCTGTGTTTCAGTTGGGTCTGACACTGCCTTTCCAGATATGGTCATGTGACCTCACCTGGTCAGAGAAGCCCATTCCCCTCACTCCTATGATTGGTTCAGGGTTGGGCACATGATCCAAGCTGGACCAATGAAACTCAATCCCTGGGACTATTGGAGGTTCTGCTAAGTTTGATGAACTAGTAGCCTATAAACCTGGAACTTCTAGAGATAATCTTTCCACTACAGGGAGAAAGACTGACAGAGAATGATACCAATATAGAAGAAAGCAGAGTTGAATGATAAAGATGCCCTTGAATCCCTAGATCCAGCCATGCCTGAAGTCACCATGATATAATCTTACACTTCGCCGTTTCACAAGCTGACAAATTTTCCTTTGAGTTTAAGCCCCTTTCAGTTGGGTATCTGTCACCTGTACTTGAAAGGGTTCTGTCTCATTCAAGGTTGTCATCTCCAGTGGAAGATGAAGAAACTAAGGTCAGGGAAATGACTTGCTCAAGGTCACTTGGATGTTGAGTGGCAGAGCTGAGACTGGAACCCAGGTGTCTAAGGCCAGTTGTCCTGCAAGCAAAGAGCAGGTGACCTGGTTGTTGCTGATCAGGGCTGGCTCCAGGAAAAGCACATGCCTTCATTCAGGACAGATGCCCAAGTGGGAGGCTCACCCAAGGTCCTGAGAAAATGCTTCACCAGCCCTAGAGAACCATAATCAATTGCCTCTCAAAGCTGGGCATCCCCAGAGTGACCTGGCGCTGGGGCTTGCCCAGACAAGAGAGCAGTGACCCAGAGACAATCACAGAGCACAGGGGGCTACTCTTCTTCAGGAAGGTGAGGACAACGGCCCCTTCTGTCATGCCCACCCCAGGTGCAGCCCCGACCCAGGACAGTAGGGGCCAATGCCAAAGTCCTTGGCTCGGGGTAAGGGGATCCTAAGAGGGGAGGTTGAGCTGTGGACAAGGGTGGGAAAATTACCTTGGGCTGGTCCCAAGGAAGCATGGAGCTAAGCCAGTGCTTCCTAGTCTTCAGCTACACCAACTCCACTTTCAAGAATTCTGCTATAGCCAAGTATCACCTTTACTTCATATTTTCCTGTTTCAATAAATACAAGCAAACTTCGGAGATACTGTGGGTTTAATTCCAGACCACAGCAATAAAGCGAATACGGCAATTGAGTGAGTCACACACTTTTTTTTTTTCTGGTTTCCCTTTGCCTGTAAGAGTTACGTTTCTACTATACTATAATCTATTAAGCGTACAACAGCAGTATGTCTAAAAACCAATGTACATACCTTTTAAAAATACTTTACTGCTAAAAAATGCTAACCATCATCCAACAAGGCAGGGTTGCCACAAACCTTCAATTTGTAAAAAACAGAATCTGCGAAGCACAACAGTGAGGCATGGTAAACTGAGATATGGCTGTACCTTTAGTCACTTTCATGAATTGAAAACTGGTGTCACTTGTCAAACATATTGACCCCCAAAGATAAATACAATGATACAAAAATGATGTTTTAAACTCAAGATAGTTGCCCGGTTAGACCGTCGACCTGCAGTCTGGCTCTTTGTTCGTTAGGTGTTAAAGAGAGGCCAGCGCCAAGGCCTTGCCCTTGAAGTGTACTCACTGCTGTGCTGTGACCATGTAGAACCATCTCCCCTGCGGCCAGTGGTACACCTGTGCAGCTCAAGCTTTGGAAAACACTAAGGTAAGCAAATTGTAAACCCTGGACAGATGCTCACGAGCCATGGAAGTGTTGTTATCCATAGCGCTGTTTCTGCCCAGGGCTCTGGAAGTGCAGTTACTCCAAGTAAGCAAGAACTGTAACCCAGACAGGAAAACGGAACCAGCAATAAAGACAAGCCCATTGAGGGGTCAAAGCTTCAGTTAAATCATTCTTTCATTCAACATTTATTGAGCGCCTACTGTGTGCCAGGCACCGTGCTAGGCGCAGAAATACAGAGATGCATAAGATACAGTCCATGCCCTGAAGGGTTCACAGTCTAGAAGGGGAGAGAAATGTGTAAACAAGTAAATTACAGTGTGATAAGTGCCACAAGAGAAGCATTTACAAAGAGCAGAGGTAGCCTGGAGGTGGGGAGGGGTATGGGGGTGGTCTTCCTGGAGGAGAGGGCCTTTGTAGGGGATTGTGAGAGATGAATAGGTGTTTGCCAGGCAGACAAGGCAGGAGGAGCAGCGGAAAGGCATTCCAGTCTGAAGAAACAGCATGAGCGAAGGCACAGAGGCATGAAACTGCATGTCTTGAGGGGTGGGGGAACTATCCTGGGGGTATTGCTAGAGTTGGTATCAAAGGCTGTGGCTGGAGAGGGAGGCAGCAGCAGGATGATGAGGGGAAACTGAGGGCAGGGGGCATCTCAGAGGCTCCCCAGAGGTAAGCAGAGCCTGAGGGAAGGCTTTGACCCAGGAAGAGAAGGCTACTGGTTGAGCCAAGGTATGCCTGCTCAAGGACCATCAGGGTCCTCACTGTGGCCCCAAAGGGACGTAGACCCAAGGCCAGAAGGGCTGAGTTGAAGGAGGGCTGAGCAGAGGGGAAGGGCCCAGGCCTAGGGTCCTGGAAGCTGCCACTGACTTGAGAGCTGTCCAGCTTTTGATTTCATCTCTCTGCTGTGCAGACCCCCTTCCCCCGCCAGAATGGGGCCAGGGGCCAAACAAGAAATGACATGGGAATGTCCTTGGCAAACTGCAAAGGGCCAGATGAATGTCTTAACTAACTAAAAGCGGAAAGGTTTGAGGATAAAGCAGCAGTTCCTAAGAATAAGGGCCATAATGAGAAAACCATGGCAGCCGTGGCAGACAATGGCTGTCTGTCCCCTGGGAAGGAACAACCCTGCTGGCCCAGGGCAGGAGTAGAGGCCACTGGGCGGGGCCAGGCCAGCTGTGCCAAGTGTGTGACCTGCAAGACTGGGGGCTGCAATCCCAGCCTCCTGGCGCCTCCTCAGCCTGAGGTTAAGTTTCCTTGGCAACCAGGACCCTGTCCCTTCCAGGCTGTAGGGGAGTCACCGAGGCAGAGATTGTCCACAGCCAGGCTTCCAGCCCTTTCTTCTTGCTTAGAAATGGCTCTGTTTGAAAAATGCCTTCATAGGGGACAGGTTGGGGCTGGGCAGGGAGGCTGGGGGAGGAGGGGCAGTGTCTTGGGAAACTAGAGCCCAGGTGCCCCTCTGAGTGACAGTTTCTCCAAGGCATCACACCTCAGGTGACTTTGGGGGAGCGACTTTCTTTCCCATTCTGGATGGGAGGAAGGGGAAGATGGATTCAACCTATTCATGGCTCCTGCGGCCTGAGTCCAGGGGCCACAGTGAGTGAGGTCTCCACGCCCTCACTGCCATCACAGGGAAGAGGGAGGTTGAGGAGGGGAGCCTCCTAATTAGCTCTTCCCTTGATGTCTCAGCTTCCCCCGACGGAATCTCCAAGGCTTCGATCAGCCCCCTTCCTCTCGGCCTCAGGGTCTCATCACCTCATCCCTCCTCTCCCCCGACCAGTGCTGGGGAGTGGTGCCCACTGACGGGCCGATGGAGGTGGTGCTGGCAGCAATGAGAGGGATGGTGTGGTGTGGTGATGGGTGGCCTCCCCAGCATGGGGGGTGGGCTGGGCTGGGCTGGGGTCACTTGCTTTTGTGGAGGTCCTTCAGCTGGCGGAGCTTCTCCAGGAGCTGGGCCCGGGAGTAGCCATTGTCCCCTGTGGGGCCTGGGCTTGGCCCCAGAGCCTCCTGCAGCACCAGGCAGTGGGTCCTCAGGAACGGGTTATAGGCGCGCTCCTCCCCTAGGGTGGACGGGCACTGCGGGAGGAGAAGCACCTGGGTTTGGTGGGGAGAATCTGGAGAAAGGACCCAACAAGGGAAGCCTCCCTACCCCCTGCCCCATCCCAGGGTCCAGGAGTTTTCACTGGAAGAGCTCTGGGGAGGGACCCATTGGTCCCAGCTCAGCAGAGAAGGGGTCCTGCTGGGGAATGCCCACAGCCCCTCCTAGACCCCCAGCCCCACACCGTGCTCTTGCGTTCCATCCGCTGCCTCTGCACCCACTGCATCTTCCTCTCCCGGGCCAGGTTTTCAGGCTCCACCACGCCTGCAAAGCCCAGGTTCTCCTCTGCGTACTCGTGACCTAGGGAAGGCCATGGGGGCCAAGACACAGGGCAGAGAGGGATTGGTGGTGTGGTTAGAAAAAGTCCTCCCCACCACCCTCCACTCTGGGCCTATGGGTACCCAACTACCAGGAAGGAGGGGCAGGGCTACCAGGAAAGCCCCAGCCACGTGGAGTTGCTTCTCTAAATGTGGGCACAAGCCAGCCATGAGTGAAGAGCCAGAAGCAGTTCAAGGGGAAAACTTTTTAGTATATGTGCTGCCGAAGTGAGCACAGTTCAAGGGGAAAACTACCAGATGTGGAGCCAGGAGACCTGCATTCTAGCCCTGAGTCTGCCTCTGCCCAGCCGTGCTACCTCAGTCAGGTCACCTCTCTCAGCCAAAATTTTCTCATTTGGCAAGTAGAGAAAATAATAACGCCACTAGAACATTATGTGTTCCCGGTGCCTGGAACAGAGCCTGGTACATGTTAGGTGCTCAATAAAGTACCTGTTGAATGAATGAATGGATGAATATATGTTCTAAGGATTAACTGAGATATTAGTGAACATGTTTTAGAAACTGTGCCTGTGCAGTATACACATGCACGTACATAGGATGGATGGATAGTCTATGTATGTGTGTACAAACGATGGATGATGGATGTGCACTCTGTGGCTATGAATGCAGGCAATGATCCATGCAGAGTGGATTTACTAGCTTCTCTTTGCTCATCAAGCAAAGGCTATTTTCTGTTCTAGACTCTGGCTATGAAAAATCAGCCACCTCCCGAGGATGCTCTGGGGCCTAAATGGCTCCCAAGAGGCTGTGAGTTGGCTGGCAGGGGCAGTTAGCTTAAGAAGCAGAGGTGTTACAGAGCCAGTACCCCCAAAAGAAGGCAACTCTATCCCCACTGCTAGAGTTGGCTCCCAGGAGCCACCAGAGGTGGAGATGTGTCACCTCTGGGCCAGGAACTGGGTCAGCCTAACCTCCAGGGTTAGGAGGGGCTGGGAGAAGAGGGAGGGGCACCTCACCAGGCCACAGCAGAGTGTCGTCTCCCAGCCCCAGCACGGTGTCCAGTGAGCTCAGCATGGTCTCTGCGGTGCCCTCAAAGGTCCGTCCTGGTAGGGTCGAGGGTATGTATAAGGTATAAGATAACAAGCATGGTAAGGTACATGGAATGGGGTGGGGACCAGCTTGCACAGGTGGGGACCAGCCCTCAGTGGTGCCCCTGCCATGCCCACCCCAGGCAGCTATTCCTTCCCTCCCCCTGGGAGCTGAGCCCAAATATTCACCCCTGATGAGCCCACTTAAAGGCCTCCATTGCACATACTGACATGTGGATGGAAAAGGGGTGCAGAACATTTAGGCTGAGTTCTAATGGCCCCAAGCCCGGTAGATGTAGGCCTGCTCTTTTCCATGGAGCACTTCTTTCTTTGCCTGTGCTGCCTTTGGGACTCCGTGCAGCCTGGGACCTGTGATCCCCTCACCTCCAGATCACCCTCTCATGCAGAGGTTCTCAGCTTTTTGTAACTAGTGTTGCCAGGCTCTACTCAGTGGAAACAAACACCCCTCTAGGTCTGTACTCAGTTACAGGCATTGTTTCACTCTGTTCATCCCCTGCAGGAAGTCATGAGGATATAAATAAAAATCAAGGTACATAGGTGGGAGTAACTGGTCAAGGCAACGTGTGTGCTGAAACCAAAGTCTTCATGTGCTGCATGGGACTGTGGCTGTCCTTGGGCCCCTGTCTTGGCCTCTTTCCCTCCTGTCCCCCTCCTCCCTCTTCCCTTTTGGAGGACTCACCACAGCCAGAGAGGAAGAGCAGGTCCCCTGAGAAGAGGCAGGAGGGACCCTCGTAGGGCTCCCCATCCAGCAGGTAGACCAGATGGCCTTGTGTGTGGCCAGGGGTGGCTAGAGCCTGGATCTGAAGCCGTCCCACGCTAACCACATCTTGATGACACAGGGGACTGAGAGCAATAGTGGAGAGATCGCACTAGAGCTTGTACCATGCTGATCCTCCCTCCCCCGCCCCTGCCCAGGC